CCCCGCCCATAAGTAAACAAGACCCGCCCAACAGTAGACCTGACCAACCACGAGTAAACCAGACCCCGCCCAAAAGTAGACCAGACCCCGCCCAAAAGTAGATCAGACCACCCACAAGCAGACCAGGCCCCGCCAAAAGTAGACCAGACCCCGCCCAAAAGAAGATCAGACCACCCACAAGGAGACCAGACCCTGCCCACAAGTAGATCAGACCCCGCCCGCAAGTAGATCAGACAACCCATAAGCAGACCAGGCCCCGTCCAACAGTAGACCAGACCCGCCCACAAGTAACCAGATCACCCACAAGGACACCAGACCCCGCCCCAAAGTACATCAGACCCCGTCCAAAAGTAGATCAGACCACCCACAAGGAGACGAGACCCCGTCCAAACGTAGAGCAGACCACGCCCGAAAGAATGAATAAGACATCCACCCAGCGCAGCTGATCGGTTCAAGGACCAAGTGCTGGCGACGAGGCGCGCGCCCGACTCTTCTTGCGTCTCTTCGTGTGCTCGCGCCGCCCATGGCGCCTCGTCAGGAAGCTCTTCCCGCGCCGAAGAGGCCGCGCACGGCACAGCAGCCTGCAGCGCCGCCTGCACCGGCGCCTGCGGCGCCGTCTGCAGCGGCGCCCTCACCGCCTGCGCCATTGGCCGTCGAGGAGCTGCTCGAGATGGATTCGGCGCAGAGCCAGGCGGGGCATCTGATCAATTGGGCCAAGGGGGCCAAGGAGTACGTCGACAATGCTCTCCTGAAGTTCCTGTCTGAGAAGCAAGCACTGGTGGCCTTCAAAGTGCCCGCCTCCGTCATGCTCATCCCTCCTCTGAAAATTTCTTCTGCAGCCTCTGGCGCGCACCTGACATCGTTTCGGGAGGTCATGCAGTACGACAACTTGCAGTTGAGCTTCTCTACGACGGGGCAGTACGAGGCTGCAGGGACGGTGTGGATGCTTGACCCGCTCGCCGCCGACACGTCCGACATCGTCTCTATCAGCCAGCTCGATGCCGCCATGGCGAACTGGACTGAGGAGAGGCTCTTGCTGTCTTCCGACCACCCGCCGTCGCGGCGCTACTCGTTCGACGTGCCGCTCCCAGCGCGAGTTGTCAACACCAAGGTTGCCCAGCGCATGACCGAGGGCGAATCCACTGTTCTCATGGCAACGGGAGTGCCCATGCTGGCGGGGCACCCGCTTGTGATGGCGTGGTATGGCGCCATGGCAGAGGCATTGTCCGCCGGCAACAGTGATCGCACATTCAAGCTGTTTGAGGCAGCTTTGTCTGTGCCGATCAGGCTGCGTCTCAGCCCCGACCCTGAGGCCTGCCTGCTAGCGTCGCTGCTGTTCTCTGAGACCGTATTCTCTACTTCCGCAGCCTCTGGCGCGGATGCCTTTTGGAAGCTGGCTGAAAAGGTGAGTCGCCTGACAAAGTACCAGAAGGCTGTGGCCGAGAACATATCTCTTCCGAAATTGACCAAAGTCCTCACGACCTACGGGATCACGTTCAAGGGCAACGCGCTCACCGCGGCACACGCCAAGGCTTTGAAAAGCTTGACGCCTTTCGTCGGGAATCACGCTTGCGCCGTGGCTTACTCTTTGGCGGAGGCTTTCTGCCCCGAGCTCCGCGAACCCACGCTGTTGATGCGGCTGGCGCAGCTCTGCAAAGCAAGGACGGCGCCCTCCCAGGCAGACAAGGACGCGGCTGCCTGCGACTCGATGGCGTTCGTCCTGGACTGCTTGCGCGTTGCCCGGCTGACAGGCGACGCCCCAGGGGGGGGGGGCTTTCTGTGGGACGGGTCACGGGGCAAGAGAAAAATACCCCCGCGCTGACGCACGTGCTGTTCAAGAAACATGATGTCATCGAGTACATTATGCACGAGGCGGCGATGATCGACAAAGACATGGTGCCTACAGTATCCATGTTTCGCTCGCCGCTTGCCATCGTGAAGCACTTCTCAGCCTCTGGCGAGAAAGGCTTAGCTGCTGCATTTCGGCGAGAGGAGAGCTCCGATAACACAGGGTTGGGAAACATGTTCGCTGTCCCCGTGGCCGAATACCGCGACCAGCAAGGCCGAGGAGCGAAGACGCAGGCGTTGATCGACTTCGCGTGGGCCGTTTGGGCTGGCCACTTCGACGAGGAGCTCCAGGAGCTGGCCGCCAAAGACCTGCAGGGAGGTGCAGCCGCCTTCCTGTGGCACCGGTATTTCACCGATAGCACCAAGGAGATGGGCGTCAAGTACCGTGCGCTGACCGCTGCTTGCGCGGCGGGTCCCATTTCGACTGGCACTGCCGAGGGCGGGGCCTCTGGCGTGGTCATGGGGGCGTCCGAGCTCGCGGAGGCCGACCAGGAGGACCTCAAGAAAACCAAGGACTAGCTCCTCTCTCTTCGCAGGAAGTCCGTTTCGTTCGTGGCGCTGCCGTCGGTTGGCGGAGCCACTGGCGCGGAACACAGCACCGCCCAGTTGCAGAAACTCTGGGAAGAGATGCGTCTCGGACATAGGTACGCCAGGAAAAAGCAAGACGTCCGAGCAGTCGTTGTGTCGGCCGACCTGTTCGCCCCAAACGTGAGCAAGAGCGGGGCGGCGGCGAGCTTGGGCGACCGCGTCGCTGTGGATGCGGAGCGTTTCGGGCGGGTGCTTGATTTCGTCTCGCAGAAGCGTTCGGTTCACGATATCGTCATTTTCCTCGACGGGCGGAGCCGGTCGTGCCGCAAACTGCTCGAGGACAAAGAGGAGGGTCTCGCAGCCTCTGGCGCGCACGCTGTGACTGAGTGTTGGTGTGTGTATGTGCAGCCGGGCAAGGCACAGGACCCCAGAGTCCCGGGAAGAGTGACTTGTTTTGCGTGCAACAACAAGGAAGTCGTCATCTGCTCCATCCCGAAAAGAGGCGCCATGAAGGTAGTGCAGCGCGCGGAGTTCAACTTGTGCGGCGAGACCACGAGTTCGTACACGACGTGCACGGGCGTGCCTATGCGGCAGTACCGCGAGCTGCCGCGGATGACCCACGACACGAAGCTCTCGATCTTGGGAAACGCAGCCGCTGGCCCGGTGAGAGGGAGGCGCGCGCAGAAAGACATCGAGGCGAACGGGCACCCCTTCTCGCACTTGGAGGTCAAGCCATTGAGCTTTTGGCAGCGGATTTGCGAGCACCATCACATCACGCACATCGTCGACTTCACGGCGGGGTCTGGCGCGTTGGCAATCGCAGCCTCTGGCGCGATGGAGTACGAGGGCGTGGCGGTCAACGAGGTGCACCGGGAGTGGCTCGACGCGACCTTGGACCGATGCGCACTGTACATGGCGGGGCATGACAAGAATTTCGCCCAGAAGCTCGGCGGCGACGACGGTTTCGCTGAGAAAGTAGAGAAGTACTTCGCGGGAACGATGATGGAGGTGCGGCGCTTGCTCGAGCCAATCGCGGACGAGGTGGACGGGGATGGGGGGGGCTCGGACTCAGCGGAGGAGTAGATCGCAGGCGCGCGATCGCGGGTGGGAAAACGACGCAGCCTCTGGCGCGCCACTGACGCGGCCTGGCCCTGACTCAGGTGTCGAAATTTTGCGCGCGTCGCGACTCCAGTGCGTGAGCAGTTCCGGGGTGACGCCTCTGGCGCGCGAGGAAGCGCGCAAGACCTTCCAGCGCGGCCAAGTTTTGATGGGTAGACCAGTCTCTTGCCCGGAGGTGCAGCTTCATACGCGCCCTTGGACGCGCGCGGCGCTGTTACGCAACAGAGGAAATGTTCCGACCCCGCACAGACGCAAGCCAATCCATTCAGCGCAGAAGGCCAGGCCGCCCGTCAAACCAGGCCAAACCACCCATAAGTAGACCAGACCCTGTCCACAAGTAGAGCAAAACCCGCCCAAAAGTAGACCATACCACCCATAAGTAGACCAGACCCCGCCCAAAAGTAGATCAGACCACGCCCAAAAGTAGATCAGACCACACACAAGGAGACCAGACCCCGCCCAAAAGGAGATCACACCCCGCCCAAAAGTAGATCAGACCACCCGCAAAGAGACCGGACCCCGTCCAAAAGTAGACCAGACTCGCCAGACAGTAGACCAGACCACCCTTGAGTAGACCAGACCCCGCCTTAAAGTAGGTCAGGCCCCGCCCAAAAGTAGATCAGACCACCGACAAGGAGACCAGGCCCCGTCCAAAAGTAGACCAGACCCGCCCAACAGTAGACCAGACCACCCTTGAGTAGACCAGACCCCGCCTTAAAGTAGGTCAGACCACGCCCAGAAGTGCATCAGACCACCCACAAGGACGCCAGACCTCGCCCAAAAGTAGATCAGACCCCGCCCAATAGTAGATCAGACCACCCACAAGGAGACCAGACCCCGTTCGCAAGTAGAGCAGACCCCGCACAAAAAAAGATCAGACCACCGACTAGTAGACCAAACCCTGTGCCCCAGTAGAGCAGGCCCGCCCAAAAGTACACCAGACCACACGCAAGTAGAGCAGACTCCGCCCAAAGTGCGTCACACCCCGTCCAGAAAGAAAAAGGGCCCGCTTCTGGAAACCAGGGAAGACAGCCCGGGCAGTTTCTGGAAACGAAAAAAGAAAACCAGGCCGTTTATGAAACCGAGAGAAGAAAACCGGGCCGTTTCTGGAAACGAGGAAAGGAAAAGGGCCGTTTCTGAAACCGAGGGGAGAAAACCGGGGCGTTTCTGGAAACGACAAAAACAAAACCGGCCCGTTTCTGGAAACGAGGAAAGAAAAAGGGCCGTTTCTGAAACCGAGGGAAGAAAACCGGGCCGTTTCTGGAAACGAGGAAAGAAAACCGGGCCGTTTCTGGAAACGAGGAAAGAAAAAGGGCCGTTTCTGAAACCGATGGAAGAAAACCGGGCCGTTTCTGGAAACGAAGCAAGAAAACCGGGCCGTTTCTGAAACCCAGGGAAGAAAACCAGACTGCTTCTGGAAACGAAGGAGGAAAGTAGCCCACTAGGCATGCTTTCATTTTCTCATCTCGGTTCTGAAACCGAGGGAAGAAAACATGTTCGGATTTGGCATGTTGGCGAGCATGTTGTGGGCCCTATATGACATGTAGTAGAGAGCCCACAACATTCTCGCCAACATGCTAGACCCGAACATATTTTCTTCGCTCGGTTTTGCAACCGAGCGAAGAAAACATGTTCGGATTTCCGACATGTTTTCTTTCTTTGTGTGTGGGGGGGGGGGGACCACAAGTTTTCTTCTGTCGTTTCCAGAAACGGTAGGGTTTTCTTCCCTCGGTTTCAGAAACGGCCCTTTTTCTTTCCTCGTTTCCAGAAACGGCCCGGTTTTCTTTCCTCGTTTCCAGCAACGGCCCGGTTTTCTTCTCTCGGTTTCAGAAACGGCCCTTTTTCTTTCCTCGTTTCCAGAAACGGGCCGGTTTTGTTTTCTCGTTTCCAGAAACGGCCCGGTTTTCTTCCCTCGGTTTCAGAAACGGCCCTTTTTCTTTCCTCGTTTCCAGAAACGGGCCGGTTTTGTTTTCTCGTTTCCAGAAACGGCCCGGTTTTCTTCCCTCGGTTTCAGAAACGGCCTTTTTTCTTTCCTCGTTTCCAGAAACGGCCCGGTTTTCTTTACGCGTTTCCAGAAACGGCCCGGTTTTCCTTCCTCGTTTCCAGAAACGGCCCGGTTATATTTTATGGTCGGGGTCTGATTTACTTTTGGGAGGGGTCTGGTCAACTTATGTGTGGTCTGGTCTACTTTTGTGCGGGCCTGCTCTACTTGTGGACAAGGTCTGGTATACTAGTGCGTGGTCTGATCCGCTTCTTGGGCGGGGTCTGATCTACTTTTGGGTGGGGCATGATCTCCTTGCGGGTGGTCCGATCTACTTTTGGGCGGGGTCTGATCTAGTTTTGGGCGGGGTCTGGTCTACATGTGGGTGGTATGATATGCTTCTGGGCGGGTCTGCCCTATTTGTGGACCAGGTCTGGTCTACGTTTGGGTGGTCTGATCTACTTTTGGGCAGGTCTGGTCTACTTTTAGGCGGGGTCTGGTCTCCTTGCGGGTGGTCTGATCTACTTTTGGGCGGTGTCTGATCTACTTGCGGGCGGGATCTTGTCTCCATGTGGGTGGTCTGATCTACTTTTGGGCGAGGTCTGATCTACTTTTTGGGGGGGTCTGGTCTACGTATGGGTGGTCGGGTCTGCTGGGCGGGTCTGCTCTACTTTAGGGCGGGATCTGGTCTCCTTGTGGGTGGTCTGATGTACTTTTGGGCGGGGTCTGATCTACTTTTGGGTGGGGTCTGATCTCCTTGCGGGTGGTTTGATCTGCAATTGGGCGGGTCTGCTCTACTTGTGGACGGGGTCTGGTCTCCTTGTGGGTGGTCTGATGTACTTTTGGGCGGGGTCTGGTCTCCGAGTGGGTGGTCTGATCTACTTTCGGGCGGGGTCTGATCTACTTTTGGGCGGGGTGTGGTCTATTTGCGGGTGGTCTGCTCTGCTTTTGGGCGGGTGTGCTGTACTTGTGGGCAGGGTCTGGTCTACGTGTGGGTGGTCGGATTTATTTTTGGACGGGGTCTGGCCTACTTTGACGCGGGGTCTGGTCTCCTTGTGGGTTGTCTGATGTACTTTTGGGCGTGGTCTGATCTTCTTTTTTGGGCGGGGTGTGATCTACTTTAGACCATGAATTTCCATGGCGTGTGTTTGTTACATCTTCTTAACTTGTTTGCTTTGCTACGACATGCTATCCCAAACCGTGCTCCGTGATCGTTTGAACGCTGTCCATATGTACGCATTCCCGTGGTATGCCATGCGTTGTTAAGCAATGCTGTGCCACGCCGTGCGCTGCTCTCCGGTGTGGTGCGATGCTATGCTATAGTATGCGACGCCATCCGACGGGATGCCATGCTGTAGCTCTGGTGTTCCCACCCAACAACCTCTCTGTGAGACACATGGTGGTCGTGTGTGAATGTTGTACACAGTACGGCTCTGGCGTACTTCTGGGCAGTGTCTGGACTTGGTGCGAGTGTGCTCTGTGCATTGCATTGCAACGCCTTGCGAACACATGGAACCTTGTGCGATGCGATGATATGCCGTGCTAGGCCACGCGATGCAGTGCTATGCGATCCCATGCTATGGCTCCTGTCGGGCCCTCCCCCCGGGGTGGCTGGTCGCGTGGGAATGTCGGCGCGGAATCTCAGAGACTTCATAGAGCTGCGCGTGCCAGCCATGCAAGTTTGCGCGCGCCTGGCACGCGGAGGGACGGGGGCAGGGGCGGGGCGGAAAGTGGGAGGAGGAGGAGGTTTTGGACGAGGACGAGGACGAGGACGAAGAGGAGGGAGTGGAAGTGGGAGGAGGGAAGGAGTAGTAGAGCAGGAGGGAGTAGAAGACGAGAGGAAGTGGGACGAGGAGGAAGGAGTACAAGAGGTGGGAGAGAACAACCATGGAATATGGGGAGGCGGACCAATCGTCGCCACGGCTGGAGCATGCTGGAGCCACGGAGGCATCGTCGCCACGGCTGCCTTCGCCTCGAAACTCTGGCCAGAGCGTCGCCACGTCGCCAACGTCTCTAGGAGAGCAGTGCGCCCCCGGAGGGCCGTTCGTCGCCACGGCTGGACGCACCTCTGAAAATCGAGGCGGTTGGATCCTGGGAGGGCTCCAGGGAGCGGTTGTGAGTAAGACGGGGAGGAGGAAAAAGAGGCAGGGGGCAGCTGCTCTCCACAGCCGTCTCGGCCCAAGCCGCTCGTGCTGCAAGCGCCTCCAAGCCCTCTCGGCCCAGTCCACAGCCGCTCCAAGCCCTCTCGGCCGGGATGTCGGAGCATCCACTCGCTGGGCCCCAACCTTTGGCGGGAGACTTGACTGAACCCCAGCCTCTGGCGGGGAACTTGCGGGATTGGCGCCGCGGCAATCCTCTCCGAACCAGCGAGACCATTCATTGCCTTTGGCAATACCAGCGCCAAGCCGACCCCCGGCGCACAACGGCCGTGGCACTACTACTCAGTCCAAATGCCTACGGGGGGAAGCCACAAGTGGCTCTTCGTTCCTTTCCTCGTGAGGGCCCCAGCCTCTGGCGGGACACCCCTTCCAATGGGAGCGCCGCAGGAGGCGCAGTTGGAAACCAGAGTGAGGGAGGGCGTTCTGATGGAGCACTACGCCAACATCCACCGCCTACGCGCCCTCTTGCTGAGCCACCCGCTCGTCTCCACCGCCACGCCGCACAAGGTGGACAAGGCGCTCGACCCCAAGTGCTTCGACGAGGACGGTTGGGCCTATAAATATCACCAGTCCCCTTGGGACTTGTCAGTGACGCTCGCAGCCTCTGGCGCGAAGTTCACCCTCGGATGGACCACAAACCATATCAAGAAGCCGCTCGCGGCGATGTGGTGGTTGATGCAAGGGAAGGCCGCGACGGCGGATAACCTCGCCCACGCGGAGGCGATATTTTTGGATGTCGCCGAGGCCGCCCGCTCGTGGCCGCTCGGCTTCCCCCCTGAGGAGGGGGGGGCCGGGGCCAGTGCGAGCTCTTCCTCTGCCGGCGT